GCTCACCTCCATGCCTTGCGCCTGGACTTGGCTGGTTGCCTGTTGCCAGATTCTAAGCCACCTGTTGGGACTTGGGGTGCTGCCTTTGGCAGGACACCCCAAATACTGATTGTCCATTCAGACAAAATTGACTTCGCCCCTATCACCGTATGTCATGGACTCCAAACCCCATTGATACTGCCTCCTGGCACCAGCCCAGTGATACTGCTAGGTGTGGGGCCTCTGTGGGTGTTCACCCCATCCAGCTTTGACCAGAATTCTACTAAATTCTATTTCTAGTCTACGAGCACAAGGATAGCTTAGGATCCATTCTCATTTCCCAACCCTTGATTTTATGTCGATAGCGTTGTTCCAATAAAGAGTTCATATTGTTCATTTTTTTCATTATATTCTTGAATAGGTTAGTAAATGGAATACAGAGAAAACAACATAAAGAGATATAATATGATTGATAAAAGGTCTAATAGTGCTTTTAAAATGAAAATCTTGTTTGACAAATTTTATCTTTTCTTGTCATTGCCAAGATATATCAAAGTATATCCTTTTGTCTTCCCAGTATTTTGTGACATGATATCAACAAAAATGTTTATATCAAAGTATTTGAGAACAGACAAACACTAGATGTGTATCCTAGCAAATATAAGACATAATAAGCACCTGGCAGACTTCCTTTAACTGTATTATTCAATATTTCCTATGACTTAGAGTCTGGTGGTCTACTTAGGTATGTATATCTGATAGATCTTTTCAAATTTTCTTCAGTGAACCAGAAAATTTTCCAGACCATCATAGATCAGTGCTATTAATTTTGTCGATTATGTTTCAAAAGTGACCTTCACAAATCAAAACTGGAGAGAGCTGAATCTTCCCAGCATAAAATTATATAAGCATCTAACCCAAAAGTTGAAAAGCAACAAGGACTGTGAATATAATCTGCTTTTTTTTTTTCTTCTTCGATGAATGTTGGGAAGAAAATGGGCACACGAGGCTAAGGAAAGGAAACCACCTTTGTCGTATGTTTACTCTGGGCCAGCCTGTGTGCAAAGCCCCCAGTTACAGGCACGTCATGTCTTACCACACTTGCTTTACTGCACTTCGCAGATATTGCATTTTTTACAAATTGAAGGTTTCTGGCAACCGTGTGTTGAGCAGGTCTGTCAGCACCGTTTTAGCACAGGTGACAGTTAGCATTTTTAGCAATAAATTATTTTTTAATTAAGGTATGTACATTTTTTTAGACATGATGCTATTCCACACTTAATAGACTATAGCATAGAGGAAAAATAACTTTTATATGGCTGGGAAGCCCAAAAATTTGTGTGCCTTGCTTTAGTGTGATATTCACTTTATTGTGGTTGTCTGGAACTGAACCCACGTTATTTCCGAGGTATGCCTGTATTTAAATCTTACAAGAATGTGTTATAGTGAATTACTCTCATTCCCAGAGGATTAGACAGACTCAGAGAAGTTAAATAATTTGTTGAGGATTACACAGCTACCAACTGGTGGTATCTGCATTCACGCATGTGTTGGACTCATATAAAAAGTCAAGCTTCTTATCTTAAACTGTTCCAAGGTGTCAAGATTCCTTAACTTTACTAACTTTTGTGTGGTAAATATTTGCTCTTATCTAATTTCCCAAGATACACAGTAATTATTTAGGCTTATTACAGACATATGCTGTCAAGCAGGATCTTGATTTCCTCCTATCTGGCATTTCACAACAAATGCTATGAGGAAAGATTGTGATTATTATGTCAATCTACAAGAAGGTTGTGAAATCCCATATTATTCTTTTGATGATGGGAAAGATGATAAAGTCAGATGGAAGTGAATATTTATTCTTCTACCTGTTTTTGCATTTCATATGTTCTAATAAAATACTAATTAATAACTAAAAAATTTTAAACAAAATCCAAATCCATTCTTAAGAAATTTTAGTGACTTTAATTTTGTGTTCCACTACCAAAAACAGACACTATTCTTTACATATTGGAGAGACATTTACACTTTACAATTGTCTTACATTTCTCTTCTTCTTCAGTAGGAAAAAAAACATTCAAGATTTAGAATTATCAAGCTTCTTTAAAACAAAAGTAAACCAAATAAATGGCATAATAAAAATGTTATTAGAGGTGACAGGATGTATTGAAAATGCCAGCTGGTATTTTTTCCCTAGGTTTAGCAACTGTCAGCCAATTTAGGCTAAAGAGGTAAAAGGAGCTTTGTGGTTACAACATCCACAACAGGATGGAAGTAGCCAAGATTGTCCTCCAGGAGCTGAGGAGCACTTTGTCGTGGTGTCTAATGCCACTCGGAATGCTGCGGTCCTCAAGAGGAGGAGCCATCTCCTTAATCAACAAAGGCGGCCATGGCCTAAGTGGATGGACTTTACAGTTCAGTCAATCCACTGTCCTTTACTGGTGTCTACCATTCTTCATGACTTTGTAAAACTCCAGAAGACGGGAAAAGTCCAATCAAATCACCATTAGATGACATCTAACAGGAGTTTATCAGTTCTTCTCCCCTAACACAAACCCTTTCACAAGTAGCAAATGATGTGGGAGAGAGTTTTTTTTTAGTATTTTCTTTTTAGGACTACCAAATAAGGATATTCAGAATTGCTGGAATTAATCAAAAGCGCAAAGGAAAGATTTATTTTCTATTCTGTACTTTTGAAAACCAGAGTAGGTGCATACTAAGGACAAATCAAAAAAAGCACAATACTCTGAAGTAGGCCTTCTCAGGGAGAGATTGGCAAGATAAAAATAAAATATTTGATGAGGATGAGATCCCAACTGTAAAAAGCCATTCTCCATGAAAAGATTCCAAGTCCTTTAAAGACTTATTCATAGAAACACATTCTTTATGAATATATACTAATTTACAACCTATTTTAAACATCTCAGTAAGTTAATCAGAAGCTCTTTTCATGTTGACTAATTCTGTTCAAGCTCACTGTCAGAAATAGGAAAGATTTTTAAAAATTATTTTTCTCTTTTTAAGCATTAGGAAAAATGACCTCTACATTAAGGTAGGCAAGCCCATTCGTCTTGGAGTTTTGGGGGTAGACTTCTCAAATGCACAAAGAAAACTCTCCTAGAACTAATGGAATTAGATTATTTGTGAATTCTCACCCCAACTTTGAATAGTCACTAATTCCTTTCTTTGCTCTTTTGGCATTTGCAGAGGGGTTCACTAAAGCCTGAATTGATATAATTATTGGCTCAGATTGTCAGAGATCTAGGCCAGATGGCTATGGGTTTCTAAAGTCCCAGTTGCTTGAAGTAGTTTTCCTGGTTTGCCTATAGGGTTTGGGGATCAGCAATTTGAAAGGGCTACAAACTTGTAAAACAGTATTATTCATGGGGGCAGGGTGTTCATCAGCGTGACCCAGCACTAAATGCATTCATTATAGGCATTTCTATTCTGCACAATTTGCCACACAGCACTGGTTTCTGGAGGGGGAAAAAAGACAATGGCTTATAAAATGCTTTTGAATGCCTAAAAAGAAATAGACTTCATGCTGAGGCTCCTCTGCTTTCTTTTTTGGAAAGAGCCTTCTTAGTGACTTTAGTTGAGCTCTGCTGAGAGTAAGCAAAGTGGAAAAATCAGAAAATTACTTTTTCTTCCCTATATGTTTCTGGGGGGCAAAATAGAGTGAGGGAAATAAATGGGAAAAAAAAATGACAGTGAGATTATGTGAAACAGCAACTATGCAAGTAGATGAAGACAGCTGAGGAATAATGCGAGAGGTATGAAAAGAGGCAGCAAGAATACAGCCACGACGATAAACTTAAAAGGAATTGCAGAGCAAAAAGCACATCATAAATAATCATATTTTCAAATAGGAATACCATATCAGTTTCTGTGACCTGGATAGAGCACAGCCTCCCATGATATTTCCTAGCATTTTGATGCACACGAAATGCAATTTTCAGCTCAGGCATTTGATTCTTCAGTGTAAACAAGCTTTGAGTGTTTAAAATACATATCTGAAAAGTGTTTTCATAAATAACACATATGTTATAAAAATTTGACTTGCAAACTATGGAGTCCATGTTGACCCAGTATTTATTGTGAAGTCTCACCATGTATGCATAGTCCCTTCTGGTAGCAATTGGCATGCTAAGGCATGAAATGTCTTTCATCCAAGATAAATAGGATTCCCCCCCCCCCCCCCGAAGTACAGGACAAAGAAATATCATAGCCAGTTTTGCCCAGACTCAAGGAAAAAAGTGATGGAAGATAGAACTATAGTGTTAATTAGTTTGGAATCCTAAGGTGTTCCTTTAACACTTGCTAATTACGAGAAATCAAGAGTGGAAAAATGACCCTTTTCTTATCTTCAAAGAATCAAGATGAAAGAGACGCAGAGAAAGAAACCTCTTTCCTGGTTCTGTTCTTTAAAACAGAGCCTCAAGAAAAGCTGCTAGCGCTCACGGAAGGAGAAAGACCCAAGTATTTAAGCGGGGGGGGGGGAAGGAGGCGGTCTGCGAAGCGTAATTAGAAGGAAGTTTTCAAATTGTATTAAATGCCTCCGCCAACAAAATGCATTTGGGGGTATGTTAAGTTAAACCAGTACTTAAAGACTATGAAAAGCAAGACGATTACATGTTGGTGGAAGAAGAAAAGGGCGATTAAGAAAACCAGACCAATTTGAAATGCCATATAAATAAAGGCGACCAGAAGTTGATTTAAAGTTTTTCTGGTGTCATTTGTCTCCCCTTTGTCACGGCACGCTCAGAAAAAGTAAACGCGGCGGATGGGCAGGGGGACGCGAGCGCGGAGGAGGAGGGGGGGAGGCGTCGGGAACGGCGACCGTCTCCCCTCCACTCCCGCCAGCGCCCCCAGCCCCCGCCTTCCCGCCTCCGCTCTCCCTCCCTCGCCCATCCCCCCCTCTCCTCCGCCCTGGCTTTGGGGACTCCATCAGCTTTTGATTTGGAAGGACGCTGATTGGCTGGAAGCGATTCAACACACGCCGGGCAAAAGAGCTTTGTCTGAGTTGAAGCGAAGTTGTACCGATTTTAGACCGGAGTCAGCAATCACGGCTGTTTAGTCTGCAGCCGCGCAGAGCAAGGGAGGAAGAAGGCTCGCTCCGGGAAAGAGCCACTGCAGACTCGGCGGCCCCCTGCCGCAGATGGATTCCGGCTGCACGCGCGGAGAAGCGCGGAGGTGACGCTCGGCCGCTGCGCGGAGGACGAGCAGCCACACCGACGCGAGGACCGGACTCCACGCCGACGGCATCTGCAAGTCGTGACAGGGTGTGTATGCAACAAAAGTTCGCGGGCTGTTAATTGCTGTGCTGTGCTACTAAGAGCCGCTTTCAAGTTCCAAGTGCCAAATGTAGCTTAGCTTTAAGTTGCCAAAGGAAGTTGAGGGCATTGCTTTGCTGTTTTAACTTGCTCCGTGAGAGGAGCCTCCTGAGCTGACCGCTGTACCAAACGACTGCTAAAATGCACTTTAGATTTGCTTTTGCACTCCTGATGGTATCTTTCCACTCCGCGGTGTTGGGCAAGAATCTGAAATACAGGATTTATGAGGAGCAGAGGGTTGGCTCAGTCATTGCAAGACTATCGGAGGATGTGGCTGATGTGTTAGTGAAGCTACCGTATCCTTCTACTGTTCGCTTCCGAGCCATGCAAAGGGGAAATTCTCCTCTCCTGGTTGTAAATGAGGATAATGGGGAAATCAGCATCGGGGCGAAAATCGACCGTGAACAACTATGCCAGAAAAACTTGAACTGTTCCATAGAGTTTGATGTGATCACTTTACCCACGGAGCATCTGCAGCTTTTCCATATTGAGGTTGAAGTGCTGGATATTAATGACAATTCTCCCCAGTTTTCTAGAGCTCTCATTCCTATCGAGATATCCGAGAGCGCAGCAGTTGGGACTCGTATCCCCCTGGACAGTGCATCCGACCCGGATGTTGGGGAAAATTCCCTGCACACCTACTCTCTCTCTGCCAACGATTTTTTTAATATCGAGGTCCGGACCCGGACCGATGGAGCCAAGTATGCAGAACTCATAGTGGTCAGAGAGCTGGATCGCGAGCTGAAGTCGAGCTATGAGCTCCAGCTTACTGCCTCCGACATGGGGGTGCCTCAGAGGTCTGGCTCGTCCATACTGAAAATAAGCATTTCAGACTCCAATGACAACAGCCCTGCTTTTGAGCAGCAGTCTTATATAATACAACTCCTAGAAAACTCGCCGGTGGGCACTTTGCTCCTTGACCTGAACGCCACCGATCCAGATGAGGGCGCTAATGGGAAAATTGTCTATTCCTTCAGCAGTCATGTGTCTCCCAAAATTATTGAGACTTTTAAAATTGATTCGGAAAGAGGACATCTGACTCTTTTCAAGCAAGTGGATTATGAAATCACCAAATCCTATGAGATTGATGTTCAGGCTCAAGATCTGGGTCCCAATTCCATCCCAGCTCATTGCAAAATTATAATTAAGGTGGTGGACGTCAATGACAACAAGCCTGAAATCAGCATAAACCTCATGTCCCCTGGAAAAGAAGAAATATCTTATATTTTTGAAGGGGATCCCGTTGATACGTTTGTTGCTTTGGTCAGGGTTCAGGACAAGGACTCTGGGCTGAATGGCGAAATAGTTTGTAAGCTTCACGGACATGGTCACTTTAAACTTCAGAAGACTTATGAAAACAATTATTTGATCTTGACGAATGCCACTCTGGATAGAGAAAAGAGATCTGAATACAGTTTGACAGTAATCGCTGAGGACAAGGGGACACCCAGTCTCTCTACAGTAAAACATTTTACTGTTCAAATCAACGATATAAATGACAATCCACCCCACTTCCAGCGAAGTCGATATGAATTTGCGATCTCAGAGAATAACTCGCCAGGGGCCTATATCACCACGGTGACAGCCACAGATCCTGATCTTGGAGAAAATGGGCAAGTCACATATACTATTTTGGAGAGTTTTATCCTGGGAAGTTCCATAACGACATATGTCACCATTGACCCATCTAATGGGGCCATCTATGCCCTCAGAATCTTCGATCATGAAGAAGTGAGTCAGATCACTTTTGTGGTGGAAGCAAGAGACGGAGGAAGTCCGAAGCAACTGGTAAGCAACACCACCGTGGTACTCACCATCATTGATGAAAATGACAACGTGCCTGTGGTCATAGGGCCTGCGCTGCGCAACAATACTGCGGAAATCTCCATCCCCAAAGGGGCTGAGAGTGGCTTTCACGTCACAAGAATAAGGGCCATCGACAGAGACTCTGGCGTGAATGCTGAACTCAGCTGCTCCATAGTTGCAGGTAATGAGGAGAATATCTTTCTAATGGACCCCCGATCATGTGACATCCATACCAATGTGAGCATGGACTCTGTTCCCTACACAGAATGGGAGCTCTCGGTTATCATCCAGGACAAAGGCAATCCTCAGCTGCACACCAAAGTCCTTCTGAAGTGTGTGATCTTTGAATATGCAGAGTCAGTGACAAGTACGGCCATGACCTCAGTCAGCCAGGCATCCCTGGATGTCTCCATGATTATAATTATTTCCTTAGGAGCAATCTGTGCAGTCTTGTTGGTTATCATGGTGCTGTTTGCAACTCGGTGTAACCGAGAAAAGAAAGACACCAGATCCTACAACTGCAGGGTAGCAGAGTCCACTTACCAGCACCACCCCAAAAGACCCTCCAGGCAGATTCACAAAGGAGACATCACATTGGTGCCCACCATAAATGGCACTCTACCCATCAGATCTCATCACAGATCGTCTCCATCTTCATCTCCTACCTTAGAAAGGGGGCAGATGGGCAGCCGACAGAGCCACAACAGTCACCAGTCCCTCAACAGCTTGGTGACAATCTCATCAAACCACGTGCCAGAGAATTTCTCATTAGAACTCACCCATGCCACTCCTGCGGTTGAGGTAAGATCATGCACTGCACCAATTCATTGCCAGAGTTAGTATTCAGAAGTTGTGCTTGTGTGAGTTCTTAAATGTTTCCATTAAGAAGTAACATACTAACAATATGCAAATTAAGGATACAAGTTACACTATGTGTATATAGTAGAGCAAGTATGCACACCTTAGCATATTGTTTTAAGTTTTTCTTAAAGAATTTACTTGCATGTACTTTGTTTAATATTGAAAAATAAATATGAAACTCACAAAGGACTATCAGATTAGAACCCCTTTTCTTCCCAGGTTAAGATACTGGAAGCCAAAAAGGGGGCTTTATTCTCATAGTTGGGGTCTGTACTAAAAAAATCAAAAACTGAGGCCCCCAGAATCCTATCTCAGTGCATGTTACATTTGTTCCACTTTTGAACATTTTCTGACATTATTTTAACTACATTTGTTAGAATGTTGTATTTTACAGCATTTCCCATGTATTTTTATAACTGATCACTTTCATCTGAACTATAAAATAAAGGAAATCGATCTGTTATTTATAACAACAGCCTCTTCCAAAAAGAAAAACAAAATCAGTTGTATTAGATCATTCACATCTCTCTGGGGTGTGCTCAGTTATATTTGGTGGCCAGCTGCACAGCCTGCCACAGTCCAGCATATGTAAATCTTTAAATGAGACATAACGTGTTCAATTAACTGGGATGAAATAGCGAGTGAGTGTTTTTCCTTGCTGAAAGCTTGTGGGTATTTGGGAGTTTGTTTCCAGGAATCAGTTCTGTCTATTTGGTTTCCAGCAGGTCTCCCAGCTTCTTTCAATGCTTCATCAGGGGCAGTATCAGCCGAGGCCAAGTTTTCGAGGAAACAAATATTCTAGGAGCTATAGGTATGAATTACCTTGGTGTTACCTATTAAGTCTCAAATGACATGGATGCCAAAGAATAAAAACTGTACTTTCCCTGATTTATCTTTCTAGATATGCCCTTCAAGACATGGACAAATTTAGCTTGAAAGACAGTGGCCGTGGTGACAGTGAAGCAGGAGACAGTGATTATGATTTAGGGCGAGATTCTCCAATAGATAGGCTGCTGGGTGAAGGATTCAGCGACCTGTTTCTTACAGATGGAAGAATCCCAGCAGGTAAGCGGGTGGTGACAGATCAATCCTTATTTTCAGATCTATTACACCAGTGAAGTCAACCATGTCTCCCACGCTTCTATTCTCTTTGTCCTCTGCACTGACTCTGTAATCTGCACACTATTAGCAATGAACACAAACTGAAACACTTTAAAATTATTTTCTTAAAATGTATATTAAGTGATTGGTAGAGAAGGAGAAAGCATGAGAGGTTAACAAGAAGAAAGGAGTGGGCAGAGGAGGGTGGGGAACCGCACTGCTGCCCTTCTCTTCCTAGCCCATCCAGTGCTGCCATAGGACACTCTTGAGCAACTCTGTATGAAATTACTGGGTGGTGCTTTTAATTCAGACAGCCTGTTTTGGTGCATAGTGGTGAAGTGGACTATAATTTGGAGGACACATTTCCTGTGATGGAAACCAACTCACAGAATCCGAGATTAAAATATACTAGGAAATGGTATACTTTCATCACTAAAAATAGGAGAAAGAATGCATCTTAGTAGGTGGTAAACATGGAGTATTTTTGGCCACCTTTCATTTTATGTCTGCACTATAGCAGAAGAGGAACAGGGGTCCAAGGGAGGGATTTGTAAGTATACAGCCAGATGGAGGAGATCCTCTTAAGTTATGAGCCACCTTTTCCTTAGACTCCCTTCTAATGGTGCAGTTGAAACTCGGAACTTACCCACTGAGTGAACCCTGACTGCATCCTTGAAGCAACTCTGTGACTTAAGACTTAACACTAAGTCAATTCTTAGGAACATATACATGTTCCTTTGGCTACTTGTGTTTCTAAATTCCATTGAATGTTGATAGACGGACTGCCATTTGATGAACGAAAGAAAGGCAGAACAAAACTATATTACCTGTTTGAGTTCTATTTTCTAAATACAGATCAGTAAGAGAGGTTAGGAAACAGACACGAGGGTGCTTCAGAGAGCCACAGAAATTAGGTGAAATCAGGAAATAGCAGTTGTAGTGTTCGTAAGGTGTAGCAGTGCCGGCAGTAGTTGCAGCAGTATTAGTATTAGATCTAGCTATCACAGAAGTATTACCAGCCACGGCCCACCACTATCCCCAGGCCCAGGAGCGGCCCTGCACTTTCATTGCTTCTCCCAGAACTCTGAAATATGGATTAGCAGCAGTGCTAGGAGCAGTGGTGTTCTTATACATTTTCTTAGATTTGAAAACTAAAGCTTATAAAGGTTAAAAAAGTGTCCCAAATCAGGTAATTTGTACATGGTAGAGGTGAGATTGGAGCCAATCCTCATACTCCTAAATACTAATCTATCAAGAGTTATATGAAGTAACAGGTGGTTTTGTTTTTTTTGGAAAATATGTTCTGTGACAAATTTGTTCTTATATTTTAAAGTATTACTGCCTTCCATGAAACTATAAAGTGCTGCTTATTTAATTATGTTATTACAGTAATAAATACTGCATTTCTGGCAGAATGAATGTATGGAAAGAATACACTATAAATGAGAGCCCATGTTTACACAGCCATCCATGGTGTCTTTTTTTTTTTTTAATTTGTAGACTCTCTGGACCAAATTAAAGAGAAAGCTCTGACAATCTAGTGAAATCTATATGGCTTCAGACAACTTGCTCAAAGATAATCAGTTTGGTTATTCTTACCTATGAAATGAAAGAGTTGGCTGAGTTTCTATGTTTCTGTCATACTAATAGAACCCTAATTTTAAATATTGACCTCTAATTTTGAATAATCTGATTTTGCAAATGATATTATTTCATAAAACAAAAAAGTAACACAATGGCCATAACGTCAATATTTCACATGTGTTATTTTTTAAATTACTTAAAGCCTATTCATTGAAATTATAACTTAGCATAGTTAAAAAGAGAATACCTGCCCCTCCTCAGGTAACTTTGCCATTGGTGGGCCTCAGTGATGCCCAGAGTCCTTTTTCATTCTGAAATTCAATAATTGTGATAGCTAATCATGGTCTAACTGTTTTTTAAAAAAGATCAAGTCTTCCTTTTCACTTTTCCTATATTTTCAAAGTTACCAACACCAGATATGTTCATGGCAGGAGAATTATCTAATGCTTGAGTTAAACAAATAAAAGTAAAAAATAAAAGTAAACGTTAAAGAATAAAGACACTGGAGAAACAATGGGGAGATAGAGAGAAAGTCTAGATAATAGCGAGCCTTGTTTAGTGAGTGACTTTAGGCTCCTTCTAACTTACACTTTTTTTCATGGTTAGAGGCTCACTTTTACATTATCATAATAATACTACTTAATATACAGACAACCTTTGAAAAACAATTCTACCTTTATACAATCGCACTTAATTCAGGTGTGTAGTGGGAGACCTATATTGCTGGTGTATCACCATACACCATGTCTTACAACCAGTTGGGGTACAGTAGTTACGTTTCTGCCTGACTGGCTACCAGCCCTCATGTGGGGTGTGGTAGAAAGTATTTTGCAGGCATGGAGCACCAGGATATCACCAACGATCCATAAAATATTCTAAGCTTTACTCATGTTTACCTAGTTTAGAAAGAAATGTGCACATTGAGCATCTACACAGAGATAACCATCTTTCCATTATGACTTTCATTCTGATGATACTGCACCTATTTTTTGGCTTATTATTCACCTTGGTGGCTTCTGCTGGCACATTAGGGTATAAAACTTGTGCTTTGTAAACTTATATTCCCAGGAAATATTCCAAGTTGGGGGAAGAAGAAATCCACATCTGAATGTCATTAACAGAAATCAGTGCAGTTTTCGAAAGCATGTGTATTTTTAGGACTTAAGTATCTTATTCCAATAGTTTTTCTGCATTAGACTGTGATCAAATATAGATTATGTTATGTTGAATTGCCTGCCAACAGGGTCATTTCTGGTTATGCATTCTATTAATTCCCACAGACATATCCTGCATTGTGAGCAGGAAAAGGAGCGTGCATTTTTGTCTGTTAGCTCATGTTTGTCAACATACTTTCTTCCTTACTCATTCAGCTGTGAACTACAGCACTACACATATTCCTACAAAAATCTCCATTTTCCCATAGCATTAGCTGCCCCAGGATGATTTATAAAGGCTTTTGATTTTGGTTCTTGTGACATTCTTTCCTGATTGAACTCACTCCCCTTTTCGGCCATTTGTCATCAGTGATTATTGAATTCAAACATTCCTCTTTAAATCCGAGTTCTCTTCATTCTTATGGCTGGTATCCTAGGTCTGGCCTTTCTTCCATGGCTGCTTTACTGTGCAAGCATACACACTGCTGTTTTCTCTCCAGTACTGCCTCCCTTCCTCAACTCTTTCTTCTATACAGCTTGAACAACTTTTTCATAACATTTTAATTTAGTCTTTTGGTTCCAAATCAATAATTGACTTTTGTTGCCCAGCAACACCTCATTAAAGCTACTTATCTTGGCATTCCAAGGTCAATGAAATCCACTCCTAGCATAGTAACTCTCAATTTCGGCTTTTTTGTATCTTTTGCAATAGGCAGGGCCGTCTCTTCACATAACATACCAAGCCTTTGCCCATGAGCCTTTCTACCTGAAAAACTCGCATCTCTTCACTGTATCTAAATTCTATTCACCTCTCAAATATTGTTTCAAGTTTCTGTTTCTTTAATGACTTCAGCCTCCATGTCCACTATGTTTTCTTTTCTTGACGAGCCCTCAGTATCACATAGTTTGGCACTCTAACTGGGCATTTGCTACCCCTCCACTCAGAGCTAGATCTGAAAGCACTTGAGGGTGGGGCGCTATCATTGCACTCCACATATGACAGGCTCTTAATACATGACTGACGGATTACTCATTAACTAATGGCTTGGTAGAAGTTTGGCATGCTGCCCTACCTATAAGGTGCAGGATAGTGGCGAAATTGATAGTGACATAGTAGGAAAGAGAGTTCCCTGCTGCTCCCACATCTTCCGCCTGCCGGGGGAAATTTAACCACCTGGCAGAGCTTTCAGGGAGGGACAGGAAGAAATGCACTTGCACCCCTTGCCAGCAAGTCCTGCTCATTGGGTGTGATGTGGATTCCTGGGTGGTACTGAATTATGCATATGCCGAGAAGGTTTTCAAATATTAGTTGGGTCTCCAGGGAAAAGATTGAAAACGTCAATGAAACTGAGAAATGCCCTTTCCTGCACCACTGTTCTTCCATCGCCATTATTTTTGCCATTCCTCTCTCCATTGGTCTTTCTCAATTTTTCATATTTTTCTGAAGTTTTCAATTTTATTATTTTATAATTAAAGCCCCATTTATTTATTTTGAAGTTGTAACATGGCATTCCCTGTTTGAAAAAATCCCTGTGACTGAAGTTATTTTTTAACATGAATTATCATTTTAATCACCCAGGTTATTCATTATATTCAGGTCTCTAGAAATTTGATCATGCTCACGAGTCTTAGAAGCCTACATACTTTTTCCTTTCTTCTCCCCTTTGTCATTAAACATTAAAATAACACAAATTCAATCAAACAGTTAAGTCCTTCCCACAGAGTTAAAGGCCAGAAAATAAATGAAAGGTGTCATCAGGTCCGTTCCCCTTCTGTGGAACAGGATGTCAGTAAGACAATATAGACAGGTCTCCTTTCCATTTGCAGAGACCCAGAGAACTATGAAAAAAACCCCACCTCATTACCACTTTGATAGTTATTTCACTGCTTTGAGAAAACCTCATTGCTATTGAAGTACTCCAGTTACTTTCAACTGCTTTTGGTTTTGTCTACACTAAGTGATGAACAATAGTTGGCAAATATTTCCAACTAGCAATAATGCATGAAGTTAGCACATCTAAACAGGCTTTTATTCTTAAATTATCCTTTCGTTTTTAAACTGAACCTTTCTCCACAGCAAACGTTCGCCTCTGTCTCTTACCCCACAGTGATCCCTGTGGAATCAGAGTTCACACTGTCTCTGCAGTTTTTGTACTTCCTTTATATTTTTACCTTTCCTAACAAGCAGACTTTTTTCTCACTCACAATGCTTGCTTTCATTCTTTTCGATAAACATCCAAAGTGGGATTACTGGATAATATAGTAGTTCTATTTTTAATTTTTGAGAAACTCTGTACAATTTTCCATAGTGGCTGGACTGTTTTGCATTTCCAATAACAGTGCACAAGGTTCAGTTTCTCCACATCCTTGCCAATGCCTGTTATTTATTTATTTATTTATTTATTTATTTATTTATTTATTTATTTAAGAGTAGCCATTTTGACAGGTTTAAGGTGATAGCATTGTGGTTTGAGTTGCATTTCCCTGATGATTAGGAAATATGTAGTGAACAATTATTCTCTGCAGACACCCTACCCAGTGCTGAAGATACGGTGTTAAACACAATAGACAACTCGCTTCCTCAGACAAGGTATTTGGTATTGTTCAAAAGTCATCCTTTTTAGCAATACTTTTGGAGACAGATAAATCTTTCTTAAGTAGCCACATCTACAGAATTAGCTCTCAATGTATAGATATGGCTGATCTCAATCCAGTTTCCATTCATATCCGAAGATAAGTACTTTACATTTCCTGCATTCTGTCATCTGCTGTAAAATGAAATCATGATATTGGAAAGTCCTAATTGTCACTGAAAGACATGGATGATTTGTGGAATATATTTTACATCTTTGCAGTTCCTGGTTGCTGTGTAGTTTAGTTGTCGTTATTTGCCAGACTTAAGAGATTTTTCTCCTCTTGCCTGCTTTTCTCATATCATCTATTATTGTCTATGAGTGTGGCCACTCACATTCCAATAGGGCATCATAACAACTGGAAGAACTAACCAATAGATTTTTCATATTCTTCATCTTTTGATGACTTTTCCATCCATTTGAATTTCAAACCTTTAAAAGAAGACTTCTTAACAGAGGAACTACAGATGCCTGGTAGTTGATAATACTTTGTACTAATATTTTCAGTAACAAGTCACTAAATAATCCAAAATACCTTTAAGAAAGATTCATAAGTATAATGATTTGATAGCTTATTATATTCTGAATGCTTGCATTAAAATTAAAGTAGGTCAGATAGCCCTCACTATCTGGAAAGTTACTCAAAGGCATTACTCAAGGATTATCTGATGGCATTCTCAAGTTATGGCTTTCACCTTACAGCTCTGGTGTTTCTTAGGATTTATGTTCAGCAAATATTTCATCTCCCACACCTTAGCTCTTTTTTTTAGTCATGCTCATGCATAAGTGATCAATCCATTTTCTCATTCCTTGAGCAGCAGAAATGATATTCCTGAAAAGTCCATGAGTCATGACCCCGCCCCTCTCCCCTTTCCTTATCTGATAAACAAGGAAAAAAAATATGTCAGGTCCATAAAACTAGCATTCCCATTAAAGCCATAATTGTAGTCCATCTAATGTGTAAAATAACGAGTTAGTATCCCAGTGGTCGTTTAAAACGGTCTCGCTCTATTCCCTTGAAATAAAATTCAGTGTTTGCCCCCATCGTTGGGCGTTCTGACGCGCAGAGTAACGAGTCCGCCCTGTCTCCCTTGCGCGCAGCTATGAGGCTCTGCACGGAGGAGTGCCGGGTGCTGGGCCACTCGGACCAGTGCTGGATGCCGCCGCTGCCCTCGCCGCCCTCCGACTACAGAAGCAACATGTTCATCCCGGGGCAGGAGTTCCCCGCCCAGCCCCAGCAGCAGCACCCTCACCCGAGCCTCGAGGATGACCCCCAGCCTGCAGATCCTGGGGAGAAGAAGAAGAGTTTTTCCACCTTTGGGAAGGACTCCCCGAGCGACGAGGACGCCGGGGACTCCAGCACGTCGTCCCTGCTCTCGGAAATGAGCAGCGTGTTCCAGCGCCTCCTGCCCCCGTCCCTGGACGCCTATCCCGAGTGCAGCGAGGTGGATCGCGCCAACTCGCTGGAACGCAGGAAAGGACCGTTGCCGGCCAAGGCCGTGGGCTACCCACAGGGCGTGGCGGCCTGGGCGGCCAGCACACACTTTCAGAACCCCACGGCCAGCTCGGGGCCCCCGCTGGGAACGCACTCCAGCGTGCAGCCCTCCTCCAAGTGGCTGCCGGCCATGGAGGAGATCCCCGAAAATTACGAGGAAGATGATTTCGACAACGTCCTCAACCACCTCAACGACGGGAAACATGAACTCATGGATGCCAGCGAGCTGGTGGCGGAGATCAACAAACTGCTGCAAGACGTGCGCCAGAGCTAGGCGGTTTCAGCGGAGCGCTTTTGTTTCCATATATTAATGTGTGGAAGGAAGGGACAGAGAGAACCCTGCAAGAACTGGCATTGCCAAATAGTTGCATTTATCATAAATGTGTCTGTGTATATTGGATATTAAATACTGTATTTTCGTATGTACACAATGCAAGTGTGATTATTTTAATCTGTATTTTAAAAATACATTTGTACCTTATATTTATGTGTAATTTAACAGACAAATTTTATTTTTTTACTCCCATGACAAACATGTCTTTTTCCTAATCACGTAGAAAATAGCCCCTGTTCAAATCTGATATACTCTTCAACCACAACGTATAAAGGCACTGCTTAGGTTAGTTATGTTGGGGAAGAAGTTGTTACGCTGTACGGACAGCCCCACGAAAGCCTTGTAGAATTCTTAGTTCTTTTAAGTGATCCAACTTTTTTTTTCAATACTTTTTTTTTTAATTAAGCATCAATAAAAATGTTAAACTTTTATTATTATTGTTGTTATTACTTTTACTGCTCTCTGCTCATTCTGATACTTCAAGCCTTACAGCAAAATTGAAACCCAAGGTGAAATTTTATTTCAGAGCTGGGCAGTATCTTTCGCAGTCAGTGATGAGAATAGGATCAGAGTCAATGTTTCCTAACTCCCAGGCCCCTGCGATTCCAGGGCATCACACTGGCCTCCTCTTGCGAATGTTTCCCCTGAAGTATTATTGTCGATTTATAAGCAAGGCAAACGATGATTTCATTCCATTCTTGTAACAGGAGATGTGTTCCAAGGAAATGGAATCTGTTCTTTAAATGGATAACAGTATGTGTTCTAACAGCATGAAGTGCTCATGGACAGAGACCCTTCAAGGGCAGTAAATACAACTGAGTTATTCTGAAACCATTGTATTTGCATCTTCCCCTTTCCTCTCAGGATACTTGAACATTTTTATCTTTTACATTTTTATTTTTATTCTTTTGCTATGACTATTCACTTTTAGCTTTTGTCTCCAGTGCATGATCTCATATTTTTGTTTTTATTTTTAGTATAAGAACATTTATAAAATTACATTTTTTGCTATGGCAATTCTGTTTTGTTGTGTGACAAATGACAAATTCTTTATTTATTGTGCTGTTATCACTCTGTGTGGAATGCTTTGGTAAGGGAGACCGTTATTATGACTGTTCTCATTTATGACCAAGCTTCTATTAATGTTATTTCTATGAATACACTATCTTGATTGTACTCTCCAGAAAGTTTTACTGTCAATGGAAATAAAAGAAAAATTAAAACTAAAGAACTGTCCATAAATCAGAGTCCTGTTCATATATATATATATATATAGATAGATAGATTAGATATAGATATAGATATATAGATATAGATATTCAAAACTTTGAAGCATATTCTTCATGAGAAGATAATTCAGTGTTAATAAATTAGGCTCTTTGGGCCACTGAAGATGCTTCTCATTTAGGTTAGTTTATAGACAAACAGTATGTGACTTTCTTGAAATAAAAGAATGATATCTAAAGTACTACATTGGAATTGAAAAATACTTTTATTATCCAAATTGGGTTTGCATTCTTCATCTGTGTAGCTGGGCTAATAGTCAAGTATATACCCTCTGTATACCAGAAATAATAGGACCCTTAATATAAGCTAAACCTAAAAAATTATGGAACAGATAGGCACAGTATAATATATTTGAAAGTGAGTGTATATACTTCTCATTAATTTATATTTTTATTATGTTCCAGCTTATACAACTTGTGGAGCTTTTAAAAGAATTTTATGGGGAGTTGGCACCGCAAAAATTGCTACCAAAATGTATATACTTCCTGACTTTTAAAATTGCAATTGCACATTCTACCCTGCTACTTTAAAATAATAGTTTTCTATTTCCTTTTATGACTTCTGCAAGTTGCTCCTAATTCTTGTTTGCTTTTTCAGATTTTATCTTTTCAATTTATTTTATGGTTACTCCTCTCCCATCATTTATCCTACTGCCCACATTTTATAGAAATCGTCTCCAAATTTTGCATGTGTATAGTACTTTATATAACCACCTAGATCTTATTCATTTTTTTCATGTATTTTTTTATTACTAATATATCAGGGATCATATTTTTGAGGCATGAATCTAATACCTTTTCATTCTCAATAAGCCTTGCTCCTCTAATTCACTAGTTTAATGGAAGGGGAAATTTATACAATTAGGAATACAGTGGTCACTTCTTTTCTTCTGTGCTTTAAATTAAAAGTTGTTGAGTGCCTAGGGAGACACTAGTATAGAAAACTTGACTTCTTGAGGAAAGAAATTGTTTTTAGAAGTGCAGGAAAATGAATATTAAGTAAGAAAGGGCCGTTGCCCCAGAAAAGAAAGGTGATTTAGGGAACTGTTGAGAGCATAAAGCACTAGAGGTAAACACACTGGGAAGGGTAAACTATCAGATGCCAGTGTCTTCTTCATTCCTGCCTCTACTGATCTATGGAAGAGGCTGTAGGACACTGTGGTACTTTTGGGGAAGATGGTTCTCCTCACCCTGGCCCTCTGCATAGGAGTGCAACCATGGACGGAGGTGGTGCCAAGGTGTACGTGTCCCTGGAATAGCATCTCACCTCATCACTGCCACTGGATGGCTTGTTGGAGATTCAGACTTCCTTCTTCACCCAAATGGAGGAAGGGCTAATACTATAAACTGTATTACATTTCAAAGTCTTTTATCTCAAGGAAGGCAGGTTTTCTGAAAGTCCCAGGTATAGTCTGTTTCATTAAAAGGTACATTCTGCAGCTTAAAATGACTAACCACAAAATATTCTAGACAGAGGAAGCATAGACTTTCGCTGTGGAAGTCAACCTTTGTGTTAGATGGAGTTTTGGGTTCTAAATAACCTCCACAACTTCCAGTAAGTCTTGTTACGTGAGATGGGGCAGATAAAAAAAAATGCAACTAGGCATGTCTTATGAATTCTAACCAGGAGAATATTTTGCCAGTCCCTGCCTGTGGTTTCCATCTCTTCTGCAAACTCATGCCCAGAGGATCCTGTGAACGATCCTCTATAGATTTCTGGTTATCATTGAAAGTGTATGGTATCCAAGAATGCCACCTGGGAATGAGCAAACTATCACAGGAAAAGTCTACACGGGACCAACCACTACAAGTAACTTCATCCTTCGCTATTTTTTCTCCTTTCCCTTTCTGCTCACTTTTTTCTTCAGTGGCATATGAGTACAGGTGCAACATATAAAACACACCATAATTCAATAAATATTTGTCGTGCACTTACCATCAGATGCTATCTCAGGTACCGTGTTAGGTGTTGGAGATACACGGGCGAACAAAACAGACAAAAAACAGATGAAGACCACCACACACCTATTAGAACAGTCAAAAACCAGAACATCGACAACACCAAACGCTGAAGAGAATGGAGAGCAACAGGAACTCTCCTCCATCTCGGGGGAATTTCAAATGATACAGCCATTCTGGAGGACAGTTTGGAGTTTCTTACAAAACTAAACATATTTTTACCATCCCATCCAGCAATTGTGCTCCTTAGTATTTACCCCGAGGAGATGAAAACTTACGTCCACACAAAACCTGCACACCGGTGTTTATAGTAGCATTATTCATAGGTGCCAAAGCTTGTAGCAACCAAGATGTCCTTCAATAAGTGAATGGATCAATAAGCTGTGGTACGTCCAGGCAATGGACTGATACAACTAAGAAGAATTGAGCTAGCCAGCCATGAAGCGACATGGAGGAGCCTTAAATGCACATTGCTAAGTGAAAGAAGCCAGTCTGAAAAGACTGCATGTTGTGTGATTACAACTACCTGATATTCAGTAAAATGCAAAACTATGGAGACGGTAAAAAGATCAGAGGTTGCAAGGGTTCAGGCAGGTGGGATGAAGAGGCAGATCACAGAAATTGTAGGGCAGGGAAAATACTCTGTATAATACTCTAATGATGAATACATGTCATTATACATTGGTCCAAACCCATAGAATGGGAGACCCTGAGTGAACCCTGATGTAAACTATGGACTTCAATTCTGATGTGTCAGTGCAGATTCACCAATTGTAACAAATGTATCATTCTGGTGAGAAGTGTTGTGTGTGTGTGTGTGTGTGTGTGTGTGTGTGTGTGTGAGAGAGAGAGAGAGAGAGAGAGAGAGAGAGAGAGAGAGAGAGAGAGAGAGACAGCAGGGAGAAAGACCATAACTGTCATGACAGAACAGGCCACAAGGATACCAGTGCAGGTAGACACTTCATATCAGATGTCGTGAGCAATAGGAGGACAGGAATGACAGAGGCCTGCTTTGTTTACAGTACATCCCCATTGCTGAAAACAGTAGCTGGCCCCTTAGAGATGCTCAGTAAATATCTGCTGAATGCATGAATAATTGCATGCTTCTCTTGAACCCACATGCTTCCCAGGGGGAAAGGCTGAAAAAAGTACTACATTTTTACCACAGAAAACTGAGTTATTACCCAAACGCGCTGAGTGTTAAGCCTCAAGGAACTACGATAGTATTAAATGAAATAAAATTTGATGATGATGATGGTGATGATGATGATGATGATTTTGTCAGCAGTAGGAACTGGAAATGAAGAAAAACCGAGACCAGGCCTGAGTGCTTAAGTCTATTTCTTTTTCACCTTTCTCAGAAACACACTTTGAATAGCTCGCCCTTTGCCTTGGTCATTGTTTCCCCAGATCAGGTGGTGTAGTCAAAATCTCAAAGCTGCTTCAGAGCCTCCATTTTCTGGCGGTATGACTCTAAATAAGCCACACAACAAGTGGACAATTTGATCTCCTGTTACTACAATGTTAATAATAGTAACATCACCATTCCCCTTAAGTGAAATGAATAATGAAACCTTTAAGTTAACGGAGGAAAATGGGAGAACTTATAACAGAAACAGCCTGTTTTCTTTTGTCATTTTTGTACGGACGAGCTCATCAGCTCAGGTGCCGATACAGAGAAGTAAATAATAAGTTTCTTCCCCATCTGCAATTTTACCAGGTGGATTGAAAGGCAAAAATAATTTTATATAATAAAGAGAAACTATGGTTTACACCAGTATTAGTAAGGAAGGCTAACAACTGCAAAAAATAAACTCAAAATAAATAACTTCTCAAATATGGCAGACGTTTCTTTCTTCTTATGTAATAGTTTTAAATGAAGGACCAGTCTCATGGAGATGCTGTCTATTACCCTATCATTTCCCAGGTCACCTTGGGAGAGGTCTCCTTTCCAGCCAGACACAAGGGGAATGGCCATGGAGTAGTTAGTACGATGAGGAGGTCATTAGGGACCAGGCCTTAAAGTGTCTTATGTCAATTCATGCCACTGATAGCTCATTGGCTAGAGACAGTCATCTGGCCACGCAGGGAGGCTCTGAAATGCTGCTGCCTGCTGTGTTCTGGTGTGCAGCACATTATCTACCACACTATCTTTAGGAATTCCAGCACTCTCAAAAATGTCACTACAAATCAATTGTACAACTTCTACAGTAATTTTCAGTTTATTCCTCTAAGTCCTATGATAGATTCTCAGTACGATGAAAGAGGTAGTGTATATTCTTCTACTTGGTTTATTTTTGTGTCTCCAGAGACAGGTACAGTTTTGACCTGTCAAAAGTACTCACACTATGGATAAGTAAAAAAAAAAAAAAAAAGGAAAAAAAGAAAAAAAAAAGAATAACATTTAAGTCCTACACAGTAATCCTTAATGCCTAGGTAGTGGGGGCTGGCCAGGGAGTGTGATGGGAAAGGGATGGTGATTAATATCATATGACCTCATTTCAAAATAAATATGATGACTCTTTCTTAAATTCTGATAGATATCAGAAAAGTGTTTCCTTGATGGTGGGGATGGGGAATGGAGGGGGTGGAGATTGCCTGAAAAGCAGAGTGAAGCAACTTTTTAGGGTAAATAAAATATTCTCTAGCTTGATTGGGGGCAGTACATTACATTTGTCTAACCTCATCAAAATATATAACATCTGTGCATTTCATTGTTTGTAAATTACACCTCAATAAAATTGAAAATATTCACAATTAAAAAATATGGTCAAGAGCAAAAGTAGAGAAGAGTATGAGACCTTCTCACTGAATCAAATAAAATCTTCTCTAATTGAACAAGTCAGTTCAGAGAAAACCCCAGGGGGAATACTCTATAGTGTTGCATTGGCAGTGAGTCAGTTCTGTGATCTAGTTGCTTGTCTTCCTGTTGTAACCTAGGTCTCAGGGGAGAAAGCATCTAATTACATCTAATCATCTTAATCTCTACACCATCTGCTATGACAAGAGGAGCAGTGCT